GATACCCGTGGTGGGCAGAACACAGATAGCCCATTGTGTAGCTTTGTGCTTAATTACAAACAAACAAACTATGTACGACTGACGTTATGCTTCAATCAGCAGAAAGCGTAACCGTATCATGCATAACGAACATTTTGTTATTATCACCAGAAATTCTAGTAGATTACGGAATAACGAACATAAATACCTTCACTAGCTTGACAGTCGTGTTTTATGTTCCATAATATTTTTTAATCTTAACATTATGTTTCATTCACCAATCATGCGTAAGCTCGGGTACTTTGACTTACTAATGGTAGCTGAATTAAGATAACTTTGTTATTACACTCAGAAGTTTTTGTTGTTGTTTTTTGCTATGTCACGCGACTGTACTTACATAAGAAGTGGAATGTATCATATTAAGTACAAAGTGCATTATTTTATCATCTTTGGTTATGGATAGATCTTATGCATGCCGATCATCAGAAGCTATGTTCGTCATTGAGGAATACTGGATGAAAAACAAACATGGTATATTGACTTCAGTTTATAAACCAATAGCGTCTAAGCGATAGAATATCAAAGTGAACCCGGTGATAGCAATTTTCGAATGTCTGTTTATAAAATTCTCCCAAAGATATACCAGGGCTATCCGTGCAGAGCCGTCAATAATTTTGAACCGATAGTCTGTTAGTTAATAGCACTCACCGCTAGCTCCTTAGCTAGTGGGATTTGATCGTCACTTTCCACACCCACGACACCTCTGTGCGATTTTTGTTACTTTTTTTTGTGGAAACGGAGCGCGAGCCACTAAACGTCGGATCCGTTGTTACTGGACGCTATCCGCTTGGACACGTTGTGCCAATGAAAGGAGGTATAATTTGAAACTGTGAGATATTTCCTGTGAAATAAGACATTTGACTCCCAATGTATGGCTTATGGATTCGAACCCCCTTCATCTAATATGCTCGCCCTTTCAGCCGTGGGGGAGTTATAATGTGACGGTCAATACCAGTATTCGTTGGTAAAAGAGTAGCCCAAGAGTTGGTGATGAGTGGTATTGACTAGCTGCCTACCCTCTAGTCTTAAACTGCTAAATTAGGGACGGCTAGCGCAGATAGCCCTCGTGTAACTTTGCGCGAAAGCCAAAACAAATAAATAATCCTATGAAATAATTTTTATGCCTCAACTTAACTGGCTAGAAAACTATACAATCTCAAACATAGTTTTACTATGGAAAAATTTAAAACGTTCATATAAATATTAATTACACCTAAACATCTGTGTTTTTCTTTTTCAGGTCATTTGTCAGGTCATCTGTCAGGTCATCTGTGGCATTTCGCGGTTATACCTTTATAGATACGTTAGAAATACAGAATAAATGCCTTGGTTGCTATGGATAAAATCAAAGATCCCACTTAAAATACGCTGTTATCGACAAGTTTAAATTTAGTATTAATCATTCAGTTACTTTCTGCTTATTAACAATGTTGGTTATTTAAATTTTGACCACATCCTGACAACATATACGTCAATGGGTAGGCTATCTGTAAAGGTAATTTTATGTACCTTGCAATTTCTGCAAGGAGGTTAAATATCATTCAAGTTCCTCTTTAATGATCATCAAACTGCGCTTCAATAATACTAAGAGTCGGAATTACGTCGAAACAGTTTGGGTGCATGTACGTTTCAATAACCTTATCAGTCACACTTCTTAGTACGCTTAATAACCTTATCAGTCACACTTCTTAGTACGCTTAATAACCTTATCAGTCACACTTCTTAGTACGTTTTAATAACCTTATCAGTCACACTTAGTACGTTTTAATAACCTTATCAGTCAAACTTCTTAGTACGTTTAATAACCTTATATAAGGTTATTAAAACGTACTAAGAAGTGTGACTGCGTACTAAGAAGTGTGACTGTTTAATAACCTTATCAGTCACACTTCTTAGTACGTTTTGATAACCTTATCAGTCAAACTTCTTACCTTTCACATTTCACATCACAGTATCTCTTTTCTGTCAGTTTTGTGAAGCATTCTGTCTTCCGCGCATCTTGTTTGTTAATGAAGTTTCTGGTTCTCATCTGTATACCACGACCACAAGTGACGCTACACGGAGTAAAACTCGTCCATTCTGCCACGTCACAATCTTCTGCCATTGGGTGATTTCTTTCATCTTGTTCTAAGTATTATAATACAGTGATTATAATAATAAAAAACAATCACAACAAATCAACAAATACTCTTTAAGAATGTTTTAGTGTATAAAGTTCATTTCCTTCGGAGTTTGTGTATTTCTAGAAAAACTGAAAATGAGTTTGAGTTAACTTTTGAAACGATGTTGTAGTTTCGGTAACACGAAGATTGTTAAGCTTTGTGGACCCCAATTTATTCGTAGATATATCTAAATACATATACGCAGTGTATAATGTTAAGTGATTGCCCACTTCATTAAATCTCCACCTAATATCCCGTTTAACCAGCTTTTGCCATAGTGATAGACATAAAAGATGTCTTGGACGACTGCATATAACTATGCGAGGGGTACAGCTTGTTTGCACATGAGGTTCGCAGTTGTCAACAGAGGGTTGAGGTGACGGATATAATACTCAAGTTTTTTATCAAAAATGCTTGAATTGTAACCTCAATATTATGGTGGCAAAGAAAAATTACTGAAACCATTGTCATTCTCTTTTAACCAACATTAATGACGTAAAAGATACCTTGTACGTTAGAATAAAAATGTAGTGTTCTGTACTTACATATGCTCTGGAAGTTATTCGTCCTCTGAAAATTATCAAAGAACTCAGACCCTCCTACAAAGCAGATAGGGTCACGCGCTGCATGTTATTTTCTCCGTATTTGTACTCTACCTTCAAAGTAGGAAAGGATGAGGAGTAACTCTTCAGGCAACATCACATACTGATAAGAGACTCTGATGAAGAGCTGGTAAAAAATATATTTGATAATGATGGTCCTGCTGGACTAGCACAAATTATGATGCCCCTTTCAAAGGCAGAGAGACCTTTGCTGTTACCTATCGCCTTTCAGACTAACCATGATATGATCACATCTCCACATTTTTAATGCGCAAATAATTCCCTGATACATCACATGACTGATTTATTTTGCAAGTACAAATAAATGGAGTGTCCTACAAATATGTGTAAGGGAAGAGAGTATAAGCTTTAATACTGTGGCTAAGCAAAGGGAGGAGAGACTCTAATGATGTGGCTAAACAAAAGGAGGAGAGACTAATAATGTGGCTAAACAAAGGGAGAAGAAACTCTAATAATGTGGCTAAACAAAGGGGAGAAGAAACTCTAATACTGTGGCTAAACAAAAGGAGGAGAGACTAATAATGTGGCTAAACAAAGGGAGAAGAAACTCTAATAATGTGGCTAAACAAAGGGAGAAGAAACTCTAATGATGTGGCTAAAAAAGGGAGGAGAGACTAATAATGTGGCTAAACAAAAGGAGGAGAGACTCTAATGATGTGGCTAAACACAAGTCGGGGAGACTAATAATGTGGCTAAACAAAAGGAGGAGAGACTCTGATGATGTGG